AAAAAAAAAAAAAAAAGAAGAAGAAGTACTCTCCCAGTCTTTGCATATTGGTCTGTGCTGGGGAACTCATTCTATGTTTAGCCAGGCCATTTACAACTCTTCATTAGTTTTCACTTCCTACTTTCAGAGAGTCTGAAAGTCAGCCAAAGAAGAAAGCTTTGGATCTCCTCAGGTCTTTAAAGCACATGCATCCTATTCTGGGCATATGTGTAGCTTTCTCAATCCTCCTGTATATTGGTGAACTTTAAAATGCCCTTATTTCCCCATGTATCTCTTTTCCCAGCTTCTTCCTCCCAGACTTCTCATTCTGTTATTGTTTGTCTTAAATGTTATCCTTTGCCCCAGGCTGCTGTAGCAAAAGCCACTCTGCTCCTGGGAAGGATCTGAGTGAGCAAAACAAAGAAAAATCTTTGTGCTGGTCCTTCAGGGGAATTTGCCAAACAGGTTAAGACCACAGTCTCAACTGTTTGAGAATAAGGCCCATAATGCTCCTTCTGGTACTAGCAACCATCACCAGCTGATCTAGGGTGTTGAGGATGGTGAGCTGGCAATTTATAACACCATAGCACTTTTACTGCAACGGATGAGTTTCTGTCTTCAACAAGTCTTTCCCTGGTTATTGTAAGTTTTGGATTAGATTGCAAAGTTTTGCAAAAGTTGATTCTGACAGTTTTTGGCATGGAACCTTTGAGTTTCCTATTCTGTCATTTTGGGTGGTGTCTTCTCTTTACATGTTTTTTTTTAATTCTCTAAAATGAAATGGCAGCATATAGTTATTTTAGAAAATTATTCTCTTTAAGAGAGTAGTACAATATTATGTTTGCTTTCTCTCAGAAAGTTTTAAATAGAACACGATTAATTATGATGTTTGGTATTTTGTCACAAATAATATTTGATATATTTCACTTGGTTTGAAAAAACATTCTTTTTTAGTTGCTTTCTGAAATATAGCTGTGGAAATTTTATATTTCTAAATATGTTTTATGCAAGGTGAAAAGATGATAGATGAACACAAAGAGGTAACAAAAGTCTTGTTACCATTGTGAGTAGTAACTATTTGGGTACTGTTTGAGTACTTCTAAAAACAATAAATAATGCAATTGAAAAATTATATCTGTTCAAAAGAAGTTTTCTTTTTTTTTTTTAAATATAACTTTATTGATTTCAGAGAGAGGAAAGGAGAGGGAGAGAGAGAGATAGAAACGTCAATGATGA